AGTATATCCATAATGTTATGGATAGTATATTATGGGTAATTACATATTACAGATAATAGCAGAGCTTCTTAAATATAAATATGTCATTGAAAGACCCACAATTCTTGAATATTGCTGTCCAAGAACTATTCTTTTGCTTATTCGGATTAGAATTAATCAACACAATTCTCCTATCTCTTCCAAGCAAACAGATGTGATATTTCCTGGGATTTGAGGCTCATGACAGGGCAGTTAGCCAGGCTGCCAAGCCTATATCCTTCAGTAGAGATTTAAGCACTCACTTAATGCCAGAGCTCATGCTGAAGTACTGTTTCTTGTACCAAATCCCTAAGCAGAAAGAACCAGACTCTACTCTCCCTCACTCCCTCATTCAAAAGCAACAGAGATGACTTACTATTTAGTGAGAGTATTGATCAGAACCCCACAGGAAGCCAAATTTATTCCCGATGGTTCAGGTGATATCATCTGAATGAAGATTCTACTTGCAGAGGTCTGAGTGAAGGGAACACATGAGAGATGTTTCTGCTTCTGAGTCTAGCACCAGCAGGAAGCCATTACCAACTCTAGGACTGAGGGGCCACTGTCCCAGGTGCGGGAGGGGAAGCAGGGTGCAGTCTGGAGCCCAGTGAAAGGTGGATACATGGAGGAGAAGCAGTCCTGCAGGAGCTGTAGCCATGGAAGAACTCACATCTGTTGACAGTAAGCATCACAAAGCAGGAAAGGAGTAGGAAAAAAACACCCAACTAGTCCCTCCTCTTACCATCTGGCTTCCAGCCAGTCTCCCACTGGCTGTACCTAAGTGGAAGCCAACCAGGAAGAGATTCTAGGGCTGCCATCCACCACATTAGCCTCCTATGCACAGAGGGGGCAGTGAAGGGCAGAAAATGGAAATGGGGGGCACAGGGACAGCCAGCAGAGACTACCAGGACAGGGGGATATGAACCACCTGAAACATTTTCCCAGGAACCATGACAAAGGAAGCTCACACAGGAAGGCTGCTGAACCCTAAACACAGTGTGCCAGGGACCATTCTTACCATCTCAGCTAAATTAGCAAGCGTAATTGACATTAAATATAATTCATACCATTTTTAGCTGGTCAATTTAATTACACCAAATTATATGGTAAAACTGGGACATTTTGCAAAGTAACTGTATGAGGGAAATACCTACATATATCTGTCTGAGCCAAATAATATCTACCTTATGGTTATGTTTGAGGATTAAATGAGGTGATGTGTGTAAAGTGCCTACCTCAGGCCTGGAACCTATAAGCACTCAAATATACTTATTGTTATTATCAATGTGTGGCATTTTACTCATCTTATTCTATTTAACATTGCTACAAATGGCTCCTGTTTTGGTGTGGCTTTCCCATCATTTGGCCCACTAATGACAAGTTCTAGAATATTCTAATCTGATCTAGAATATTCAGCCTCTGTATCTGCATTGGGATCCACCAAAAACATAATGATACCACCATCTAAACAACAATTTACAGATATAAAGCGCTTCCACCATCATTATTGCACTAATTCTTAAAGTAAATCAGAAATTAGTATCTGTTTAAAGATAGGGAAATTGAGGCTTAATGACATATGACCCAGGCTTCCTGACTCCAGAATTATGTCACAACTGTCTGGTCTCCTATTCCTTTATTACTAAGTATCAAGTTCCATGTCAGGGTATATTTTAGAATCAACCAAAAAAGTTAATGTGGACTTTAGGTTACATCAGGAACTTTTTGTGAACTTACATTGCAGTAACTTCTATTGCTTATTTGACCTTTTCTAAGGAAAACCGCTTGAGATCTTGGCCAATGATCGTGGTTTTTTTGTCTCTTTGAGATACTGAGCTTGGGTAAAAATAAGGCCCTACCCTTGAGTTGCTCTGATCTGACTCAACCCATAGGACTGCCTCCGGTATTGGGGATGAACACTCACAGATGCCCTGTCCCCTCTGTTGTATCACAACCTTACAGAGCTCATGCTGAAGGACCCTTTCTTGTACCAAATCCCTAAGCAGAAAGAACCAGGCTCTCCTCTCCCTCACTCCCTCATTCAAAGGCAATACCTGAACACTTGAGGGATAGAAAAGTGAGACAAGAAAAAGAATTTTTTCCAAGCTTTTTAAAGCATCAAATCATGAAGTATTTCATCTCTGCCAATTCATATGCAATCAATTTATGAAATTATACTTAAAAGCCAAGGGTTAGAGCAGGGACCTTTGCAAACAACAGTGACTTAGGAGGGTCCTGTTCTCACTGCCAGAAAGAAAAATAAAAAGGGAGGATTAGCATCAGACTTGGAATATTTTATTAAAACTAACTTTTAAAATGTAGGCCGCTTGACTGGAGGAGGGGGTTGCATATAAGGCTACATGAGATCAGATGTGGCATAGCCACAGCCAGGCTGCTCAGGGAGGAAGTGGGGCATAGCTGTTCGGAGCAGAGCTCTGGAGTCGGACAGAACTGTTTGAGACTCCGGTGCTGCCACTCACTTGCTTCAAGGCCTTGGACTTGTCACTCAACATGCCAAGCCTCAGTTTCCTCATGTAAGATGGCAGTTACGATAGTGTGGCCACCTGCACACGTGTGGTAAAGTAACGCACACACAAGTGCTCAGCACAGTGCCTGGCAGAGCTGAAGAGCTCGACAAACTTTGCCCATTAGGATGTTTTCAGCTTTCTTGTCACTCAGCCTAATTACATCACACTAGATTCTGCTGCCCCATGTAGTTTAGTATAAAGTAAAACAGAATAGGATGAATTATTCAACCACTCAAATTGACTCTTAGATAAACAAGAGTATATTTAATGTCACAACTTGGAATAATTAAGAATCGATATACAATTGTCTACAAAAAGGTACAACAAGTTTGGAGGTGTAAGAAACATATGCCTGAGTCTAGGCAGGCAAAATAAGTATCCACTCATCAACTCATGTCACGCATCCATTGCATGGATTCCAATAAAGTGACCTATTTTCACTTTTTACCCTGCAAGGCTGACCAGGGACTCCTTCCTTCCCAAAACCGCTTTGTGGCACAGCAGCCCAGTTTCAGTTTTTCTCTCTCCAGTTCAATTCAACACAACTTTGTTTAGCTATGGTTCCTTCCCAGTGCTGGGCCTGGGCACACTGAGACACATGAGAGGTGGCCCTGCCCTCAAGACCTCATTGTCTGGTAGTGGGACAAACATTGACTGGCCTCAATTTCTACCAGATTCCTGGAAAGAGTTTACATATGAGTTCCTGTTCTCAGATGTGAGGGCTCCCAGAGGAGCCTGTAAGCTTGGCTCTGCCGAGAGACAGGCTCATCTGTGTGTCTTTCCAGGTGAATGCAAAGCTCTTTGTACCCTCTCTGGCCTTCCTTTCTTCCTCCCTACCCACCACAGAATTAACTTCTCTTCCCTCACCTGGAATTAGATATCTGGGCCCTTCCCATTTTCAGACACTGCTACCCCAACCCCCACAATCTCCTTTCAACAAGAAGACAAAAACCTGGGAACAGCCAATTTAGTGAGTAGAAATTCATTCCTGCTAATTTTAAATACACTCCACCCTATAGACAGGCCCTGTGGGAAAATCTGCATGAATTATTTACAGCTGTTTGCATGTTGGAGGAGAGGCTGAGAATCAACAGGGATATCAGAGGAGGTGAGCTCACATCAAGCCTGCCAACCCTCTGGATGCACAGTGAAGAGAGCTGGATATCGGGGCTCTCGAGTCCAGGGACACGGGTGACACAGAGGCAAGGACAAACCACAGGACTAAAGGGCTGGAGATGTCTCAGTGAAGGCAGATACAGCCCCAGGGAATTGAGGGAACCCCAGAGACTAAAATCCAGGTCCCAAGCTTTTTAGGCAATTGAATGAGAGAAGAGAAGGAAAAAGCAGTGTGAGGATGAGCATGAATTTGATTTTGATGCTGATTATAGCTCCTAAGAATTGACCACATAAGGAAACTGAAAAATTGGTTTGGTTATGTCAGCGTAAGTCTAATGCAGTCATTTATGCCAACTGCCTTACCATCTGTATGAAATGGCCATGGTATACCATAACAAAGATGCTCTGTAATCAGTGTGGCTCAGAGTGGTTCTAAGTTTTATTTGATTAGGTGAGTACATGATATACCTGGGTGCCAGCCTTCACAATTTCTTCCTCAAATGCATAGTCCTCTGTTCTCAACTTCAACAGATGACCAATACCATTGCTTTTAACTATTAGAATGGGCTTTGGGGTGTGGGTCCTTCTTTATTCAATATTTCCCCTGATAACTTTTTATTATCTGAGCAATTGCTATATGGTACAGTTTCTCTGCTCCCTGTGCTTGGAATGTGTGATTTTTTTCATTGAAGTATATTATATTCATGAAATAGTAAAAGCTATAAATTCCACCTTTCCCCTCCTCCCCCACACATACGTAGACACCTTCCCAGTCATTCTGATCAGATCCTACAATTAATAATGTTGCCAAGTCAGCTCACTTTAGGCTCAAATAACAAATTCACAAAATTACCATCAAACAGAACGGTAAGCCTCCTCTCTTTCATAAGACCTACCCCCGACGAGGAACACCTGTGTCAGAAGAAGCAGGCGAGGGGCAACAGCTCCTGAAATGGAAGTGAGCCTTCCTTGTTTCTGTGCGAAGTTCTGCTGCTGTTACTTGGAGTTGGTTTCCACCTGAAAGGTTTTCCCTGTTTGGTGAAGAGAGGAGTACTTAGGGCATCCTGAGAGTTCTTTGGGGGAAAGGTAATAACATAAATAAATGTGTTTTTTTAAATAATTACAGAGAAATACAGTGATAGCTGTTTAAAATCATTAGGCACTGTTGAAGTATCTTATGTTATTAAACTATTTCATATATGACTGAATAGCAGGTGGGTAGAAATTTATTGCAAGGCTCAGCTTATGGCCACTTTAAAATTTGCCTAGAAAATCTAGCAGGCAAGTAGTCTCAACAAAGTTACTACTTCAGGTGAAAATAATAACACTACAAACATATGGCACAGCCCTGTAAGTTTATTTCACTCATACAGCAGTTTGTGCTTATGAGCATATAGGAAAGGTATCAAAACTAATCATATGCAAGAGCTGTACATTTTGTTATTATTTAAATAAAATGTGTCTTTAAATATGGAATCCTCTGTCCAAAATTGCAGAGACGATTTTGGTTTTTTAATCGAAGATGTAATATTCATTACAGCTTCCCAAAGGATCTTCTGTTGGACTGGGCAAGGAGTCCATTTGTAGAGTGTATCTAGTGGTCAGGTCTCAACTTGTAGCAACAACTGTATCTGAAAGGAATCACAGCTCGGGGTTCCCCAGAAAGAGCATCAGTCCTTGTTGGCTTGCCTGCTCTCCCTGCCCCTATTCATCTTTGCAGTGAGTAAATGAGTACTCACTGAAGTCTCTCGGGGCTTAGAAGATCTTGCACTCATTAATAGAGAAGAACCTCCTCCTTCTGCGTCTCCTGGCTTGGTTGACAGCAGTTCGGACGGCACACTCAAACACCTGCTGTACCCCCCGGTTGCTGAGGGCTGAGCACTCCAGGTAGCCCTTTGCTCTCACTTCCTGGGCCAGTCTCTTTCCATCTATGGCACTGATGCAGGAGGCTCTGTGGGGCCCCACCTCCCGCTGGTCAGTCTGGGTGGCCACCACCAGCACAGGGGTGCAGGGCAAGTTGCTCCTGATTTCACCAATCCACTTGCTCTTCAGGTTCAGGAAGGAGTTATGGTTGGCCACGGAGTAGCACATTAGCACCACGTCTGCCTGCTGGTAGGACAGTGGGCGAATGCTTCTGAAGGCATCGTTGCCGGCCGTATCCCAGAGGCCCAGGCTGATCTGGATGCCATCCATGAAGACATCCACACCTGTGTTCTCATACACCGTGGGCTTGTAGGCCTCCGGGAAGGTCTCTGAGGTGAAGCGCACCAACAGAGAGGTCTTCCCCACGGCAGAGTCTCCCACCAGCACACACTTGATGGAACTCAACATCTTCCCAGCCTGGATTCCTAGTTACAAGTTCAGAATCCAAGAAAAAGAGCCCTCAGTGGGCTGTCGCAGCAAATGCCATTCAACACAGGGAATGAAAACCAAATAGATGGGTTTGTGTTCTCAGGACCTCTGATGGCAATTTGCAGAATGTTACTTTTCCCTGTCCATCCAAAGGAGACTCACTATTTGCTTGGAAAACCTCCAAAGGCCTGTCTTCAGCTGGAAGAGAAAGAGAAGGGGAATGACTGAGGCTTTTATTTTCCTATTTTGATGGCAGGGAGCATCCTCATTGGCAAACTGATTAAATGTGGGACCCACAGCAGTGTAGCTGTCCAACCCACTCTTCCCTTCCACAAGGAAGCCCAGGTCTGTTAACATGCACCCACAACTCCACCCAGTCAACGAGCAGGAGCTAATTTTATCTCTAACATCAGCTTAGCAATAGAAACACAAGCAACTGCTCTGATGGCAACATGAAAAAGATGTCAACAGCAACCTGATATGTGAAGGAGACGTTTTCAAACAGCTCTCCACTGGTTCCTGCTCCACGAAGGGGGGAAGGGAGCTGTCCGCACTCTCCACAGTTTCAGTTTCTAATAGATCCCTGCCATGGTGGGAACTGAAAGAAAGAGAGATGTAATGAGTGACAGATGCCATAAGCACTTCCTTTCATTTACTGATTAACCAGCCAGTCCTTGGTTTATGTGTGAATTCAGACTGAGATTAGAGAAAAGAAAGCACCAGAACTGTAAAACTTTGCTGTGGTTTTTTTCCCTGGAGGTTTTTCCAAAACCTGGCTGTGATGTACTGGAAAGGGCACTGTCCTTGGAGTTTTCTGCATCTCAAGTCAGGTTCCATTAACAATACAGAGACACGGTTTTGGGGACCTTGCTTGATCTCCCAGCCTCTGCTTATACATCTGCAAGATTGCAATAAATTTCAGAGCCACTTCTCAGAGACATTGTGAGGATTAAATTATTTCTGTCTGTCAAATATTTCTGGACAGCTATCTGTGTATCACAAATACTGCTAGGCCCCTCATTAAACAAAATAACTTGTTTAAAAGCAAACATATTCAGTGCCTGTCACTTAAACAGTGCTGCATAAATATGACAGAATCTGAATTTCATGAGAGGATCAAATAAATTCTCATTCATTGCAGGTAAGAGATCTCTAGATGATGAGATCAGCCTTGGAGACAGTGTTCTGTCTGCCAAGGGATGTCATCACAGGGCCAGCCCATCTTCAGACAAAGGTCTTTCAAACCAAAATTCAGAGTAAAGGTTATTACTACAATTTGGGCTTATAACCTCCCCCACTGGCGATCTTCCTGACATATTACATGTGATGCAATAAAAAGCAGAGTTACAGAACTGCTTCAAAAAACAATTTTTAAAATTCACTCCTCTAAATCCTGACATTCCCTTCCAAGAAATTTTTATCCTTGTCAACCCACAGTCTCTTTTTGTTTAGTTAGACATAAGAGCCTTTGCGAATGAGTTAATCAAATAAATAACACATAATTTTCACATATTCATTTTTTACACAGAACCTGGCACAAGGGACTTCTAGGGAGCCATCATCTATTTCCACTGTTATTTATTTAAGATGCCAAATATTCAAGGTCCATAGCCCAGGGGCTGGGATGTCAAATGTTCTGCTGGACATTATCTGAGAACTCACACTGGGTCGCTCATGCATCATGAGCCTGAATGCCTCTTTGTCCCCAGAACTGTGAGAAAGGTCTCCATCAGGTCTCAGGCTTTAGCTCCTTAGATCTACAGATGACTTATATATATCCATTTGCAACCCCCTGGTTACTTGGTCAAGAGCCAAGACCTCTTAAGACATTTTTAAGTTTTATTCTGATACCAGTGCCGCAGGACTAGAGGGTAGGAAATACATGCATGTGTCAGGCCTTTTTATTAAATAAAATCTTTCTAACTGATTGAGTAAAGGGCAGATTTCTTGAGTAAATACCTGCAAAAGAAGTCGATGTGGCAAAATTGTTAAGAACCCACCTTCAAAGTTGGGCATATCTGCAATTGAATCTGGGCTGCCCAACTGACCACCTGTGCAACTACCTTAGAAGAGTTGCTTGATCTCCATAAGCCTCAGTTTCCTTCTCTGTAAACCAATGTAGTAATATCTACATCATAGAGTCATTGAGAATATTGTGTGCTTAGATGTATAAAATCTTTAGCATAGCGCGTAATGTAAATGTACTATATGTACTTAGTCAATACATAGCAAATACACAATAGTCCTTATTATTATTAGTATCAATTACTAAATATAATGATGAACAATTACAAATTATAAGTGAGGTATTTGAAGTAGGACTAAAGAGGCTTCTCTGGCTGAGAGCTCTGTTTATCTTACACCCAGCTATGACATCAAAAAGGGGCAGAGGGGGGGATCTCTTCTTGCACCATAAAAATAAAAATATGATGTGGACAAAGAAATTCCTGTCTGAGCTTTGCCACCTAGAGAGCTCCAACGACTCAGCGCCCTTCATTCCCCAGCCAGTTCTGGTGCCAAGAGGCTAACAGGTTAGATTTCAGGGCTTCAGTTTACCAAACTGTAAAGTAGTTAGACAAGATTAGATTTGTTTTTGCTGTGATTCAACTAAAACCGAGGCCAACGGAGAAACCTTTGTTATCTGCCACAGCAAATACAAAAACAGGAGCCACTGCCTCATTCCATAGAGTAAACCTCAGTGGCATGGGTAGCCTTCAGATGACAGCTAAATATGGAGCTGGGAGAGGAGGGAAGGGGAGGAGCTGCAGGCCAGCTTAGGGCACTACCCTATATAGACATGAAAGATCATCTTCAGGCAGCGTGCCACATGTGCTCACGAGAGAGCTGCTCTGGGTTACATGGTCAGTGTAACCCAGAGGATGATGGGCTTGTTTTCAAGAGAATGGCTCCGAAAGGGAGAAATTCTTCCTAAAAGGGCATCGGAGTGAAAAACCAAAGCAGGTTCACAGTGGCGCTTCACAAGTGGCTAACTGGCAGGGGTCCCCGAACTCTATGTGTCTGAATACAGAAGAGTTGCCAAGAGTAACTGCAGGTAGCATCATGAGTAATGCCCCTGAGTGGCCCTTTTAGGATCTAAATCAGGCTGGAATTCATGAACATTCAATACCAGAACCTCTCAGGTCTCAATAACTTGATTTCTCTTCCCCTTTCTCCTCATTACCATTTTCACAGAAAGGAACACCTTCAACAGGCCCATGGTTTACACACAGACAGGAGGCAGGGAGGGAGGCCCCGTCTTGCAAAGGCAAGGGTGTCGGCCATTGCTGTCCACTCCAAGAAAGGGACAACAGCGAGGAAAGGAAGGGCAGGAAAGTGGCATCCTAACCACGTTCATCGTCTGGATGGCTGAGGGCTGTCCAGCTGGAAATCCTGGTTTCCTTTAGCCATGATTCTCTTCCCAATTAACAGATACCTGCTCTTCATTATCCCCTTTCTTCAGACACATTCTGCTCCCCTATTTGCCACCATCACCCTCAGCTGAAATGGCTGGTCCTCTTGTGCTTATTCTCTATCTGGACTTGGAATAAGGCCTGCCATACCTGCCCCCTGGGAGTTTATAAGGATCAAGTGGAAATGATAATAATACGGCAATAACTCGTGATTGTATTTTACAAGTCTGCATACGTTTGGAAGGACTCTCTTGTTTGTTCTGTGAGAAAGCCCCTTCAGAACAACAGAGCACAATAGAAAACTAAGCTGAAATGACAACCATTATTAATTAATTGTCGTTATTGCAAGTTTTCAACTCCCTGGGCTTTGACTGAGATGGCTTACCTCTAAATGCTGATGGAATGAATCTTCAGCTATCTTTTTTCAAAAAATTCAAACTGATGGCTATTAGCCAGGGAAGGTCTGTCAATTACAGAGAATACATCTAAATATCATCCTCCCCAAAAGAGCTTTGGCCAAAGGACCTATGCTGGCAGCAGCCAATTCATTCACTAAGGAAATTGCCACCAATCTAACACACTAAGATGATTGGGAAATCATCATGCTCCTCATCTGCCAGCACCTTCCACCTGCCTAGCAGGGACATCACAGCAAGAGAAAGCCCTGCTTGGGACGGGAAACCCACGGAAAGCTCCCCGTCTGACAAGGGGCCGGGTGCTTCATTTCCTTCTTTTCTTTTTGGGGAAAGAAAATGGGTTAAAAAAATCTTAAGCAAGTTAATAGAAATAAAGCACAACCATCTCTAAATTTTGGCACTCCAAATTCAATTTAGATTTCATTCTCTAATAAATATCCACTTGTATATGTCACCTGAACATTTTTTCAGATTTTAAAACATTTTTATTTTCAACGTAGTCTGCACACTTGCCAGGTTTTATCGAAATAGCTTTTCATTGTTTCAACAACTTATAAATGTACAGCTATTCCCCAATGTCAGCAGCCTTTGAGTTAGTTTCGTTATTTCACCACAGTCAACAACTGCACTGTTTTACATATAAAATACTTATGCATATATACATACATCAAATTACTTTTATGCGGGATGATTTTCTTGGGAGATATATTCACAAATGTGGCATTATTGGGTCAATGGGTCATTCTGTGACTTTCATTTACATTATTCAACCATCTTCTGGGGACTGGTCCAAATACTTTGTATATATTATTCATTAGTTTTATTCATTTGAAAAAACGTTTGTTTAGGGTTTCCTGTGTGGCGAGCCCTGAGAGCGTACTAGCTAACAAGAGAGTTGCTGTCTTTCTGAGAAGGCCACCATTTCACAACTACAAAGACTTTAGGAGGCTGAGAATCTCACCTACAGTCACACAGTGAGGAAAGGGCAGAGGCAAAGTTAGGCCTAAAGAGAGTGAACCCAACCCTGTGGCAGGGGTGCATGCCCATCACTCCGGTTAGCCCTAGACGAGGCATCGCGGATAACACTATGCCTCCTGCTCAAACCCAGCTTCAAGAAACTTTCAGCCAAGCTAAGGTCCCTAGCCCTATTCTCCTCCTACAAATAAACCAGTTCTTGCCATTACACTAGAAGTATGCTATTTCTTGATCTGGAAGCTGGTTCCACAAGTTCAGTTTGTGAAAATTCATCAACTGTTGACCTGTGGTGCGTTCGCTTTTCTGCATGCAGATTATTACCTTCAGTAAAAGTATTTTTAAAAATCAAGTTACTGCTTTTGCAGTGAAGATCTTCTAAAGTAGTATTTTACCTTAAGTTTCATCTTGCTAGACTTCATTTTACTAAGTCTCAACCCTGCTTTAGTAACTCCCCTTAGCATGTTTCTAATGGCCACAAATAATGATTAAATTCCTCCCCAAAATCACAAAAGGAAATCACTTTATTTTTAGCACCATCACATCTATTCTAAATGGCAGTTGTTCTGAAAGTCTGTTTTCAAGATACCAGTTTACAACTTTTAATACACATGATGGCCAGAATCAAGGTTCTAAGCACTATTTATGTTCCTAAGACTAAAGCCTACTAGTTCCACCATGGTTGAATTAAAAGGGAACATCACCAAGCCCTGAGGCTGCCCAGTATCTCAGCACCCTGAGACACAAAGCCTCTCTGAGCCGTGAGCTCTGCCCCGCTGACCCACAGGGACAGTGCACCC